AGCAGTGCCCTCTGGTAATCCCCTTTTGTGTCTTGCTGTAAAGCAAGGGAAGAAGAAACAAAATACACATGAGGAAACGGTCACAAAATAGGAAAGTATATGCATTATATTCTGAACCTGTGGGATAGTCTGCGACTCACAGCTGAAGCCTGATCAGCCTGGAGGAGATCATCTAGACTGAGTCTTACTTATGTGGGAATTGAAATTATTTATCACTCCTGCAACACAAATGCAAGGCCAAGGGACAGAAATTCTGGTATGAAAAGAGAGTAACACAACAGAGGAAAGCTGAAGGACTCAGTTCTGTTCCTTCACTGCAAAAATAATCCATCAAGTTCACTACTTAAAAAAATTGCTTACAGTCTACAATTGACATCTTGAGGAAAAGACAGTCTTAAGATTTTGACTCTTCTTCATCTACACAAGGAATAATGTATCATATACTGTTGTGAGGGTGGGTAGAAGACTAGTTTTTACACATGCACAAGCTCTTTACCTATGCCCCAAGTTAAGTAAACTCTAGCACCTATAGCTCCTGTCCAATCACAGAAATGGACAGAAGTCACTCTGGCTAAAAAACCTTCTCCTTGAGCACTGAAATGCAAGGGAGCAGCAATTCAAATGCTCTATTTTCATGCAGCAATCACAGAGGAATTCTGTTTTTAGTTCTCTTTTGATCTGGTGATCTGGTGAACAGATTTTTCTTTCAGAACACATCAGCTGATTGCACAAAGCTTGCAGATACTGCAGGTGGCTGTCAGGAATTGTACTAGCTGCAGACTGGGAGGTTAAAGGGTTTTTTTCCAATAGTGCATGGATAATGCAATATTCTCACTGCAGCCTCTGAAACACTCCCATGAGTTCTAGTGGACTGCTGCAAAGCTCCATGGTGTGAAAGCAAAGCTGGAAACTTGCCTGGATGAAATAGTAGAGAGATTTCCCGTATTTCCTCTTGAATTCACTCTTGATTTTCAGCATGTCAACCTCGCAGCGGGAGACCATGATCCTGATCAGGACCTTGTCCCGGGTTCCCTTGCCCTGCAAGCAGACACACATTTAGACCTGTGAGAGCTGAAATGCACAAAAAGCCACTGTACATCATGGTCAGAGCAAAGTGTAGGCAACTGGGATATAATGAGTTATGCCTTCTAGCTAAGGTCATTACTGTCACCCAGGAAAAGGAGCAGGAATACACCTTTTTCATCACCAATGTCTGACCAACCTCCAGACAGAGACCTAGCTACTCAGCCCATAAGCAGCAGCTCTGGTTCACCAGGAGCTCTTCCTGGCACTGCCTAACACCTGCCATCAGGCATTTCTCTTTCATCCCTGCACTTGAGAAAACATTTTGAAGCAAATTTAATGTCTAATTTTGGCACTTCAGCAAAGAGCTTTTTCTGCTCTCAGCTCTTGGTTACTTGGAAAAGATGTGTCTAACTTTGCTAGTTATAAGCAGATCATTATTATGAGACCCATCCCTGTATTTCCCACACCAGATGCATTTGAACAGATGAGTCAGGCTTGTCCCTTCTGAGCAATACTAAGCAATTGATTAATTGAGTCACACATTATATGAACACAAGTGCCTGAGGAATTGAAATCTGATGAAGCAATGTCAACAAAAACCAGGAGAAAGAATGAACAGGCTTCCCTACCTTCATGGAATCATACAGTCTGTCTGCAAAGTACAGCTGCTTGTTCTGAATGCACTGGACTGGAGAGAGAGAGAAGAATAGTTAAATATCCTGCCCATACATGGCATAGCAGGACACACAATCTTGGAGCCATTTCTGAAGACATGCTGAGTACTCAAAATAAGGTTTTCATCAAAAGTTCCTTCAAGATGGAACATAGAGGAATTATTTTTACCCGACTTGTTACCTAGAAGCTGCTGGGCTCACCTTGTGACTGAACCACAAATGCTTACATCTGGAGGAAGAATTTCCCTCCACGGCTAAAATCACTGCAGAAGGTCAGCTCCACTCCACGCACACCTCAGTTCATTCTCCCCCTGCTACGAGCAATGTCTCCCCTGCAAACACCCCTTGTATGCTAATCCCTGAGCTTTCCTTTCAAGGCTCAGCTCTGTTTGCACTCCATTTGCATTACAGAGCTCTCCACTCACCCTCAGACTGAAATGGATTTTCCTCTTAAAGAACTCCCTCTTAAACATGGTGACATCCTTGTCATCTTCCTCTCATGGAACAGAACCAGTTTCAGAGAATTCAGTCTCACATCCACTCTCCAATTTGCCTCTACCACCCCCATGGCCTACCTGTCTTCTCTCCCACACACAGCTCTCCCCAGCCTCTGACAATACTGAACACAAAGTGTTCACCTGTAGTTTCAACATTTTTCTTTGCCTGAGGAAACAAACATTAAGCCTCTGTATCAAATAACAGTGGAGCTAACAGCAGATCCCAACACACACTGAATCTGGAAAGCAAAGCTTCTGTGTTGCAAATATGTGCTACTTCTCAATGCCTGCAACATCCTAAAACACACTAGTGGATACCTTGTCCAGTTTGTTTCGTGTCCAGCAGGACACAGCTGAGCCCCATCCTCACCAAGGTACCCTGCAAGAGCCTTGAGCAGATCCTGCACAAAGACAGTCTTCACTTCAGGGTAACTCACCAAGATTAAGAAAGGCATTCTCCAGATCTCCCTTAACCTCCTTCTTGATGCTCTCCAGCATGTCATATGGGCTGTAGCTCTTGTACCTGTCAAACACTAGCACGAGAAAGGAAAAGGCAAAATCAAAACCAGGCCAAGAACTGGTACAGGGTAACCACCCCAAGCAGGAACACAGAGACAGCAATGCAGAGACACATGATTCAAGTCCTTCTGAGAACTTAAATGCAGCCTAACTTTGTCAGCTAACAGCACAGGTCCCATGCCATGGCTTTTTTGTTTTCCTTCAACACCTCCATTAAAGGCTAAAATACCATCCGAACCCTGCATTAGTGTTTTTTGAAACAACAGTGATTTAAGCCCTGAAAAGGCTTCAAGTGGCTTTCCCCATGTGCTGCTTACACCACTGTCAGGGGTTGGTTTTCAGTCTTCAGTGTCAGACTTAAAGATATGATATAGCTCAGCTACTCTGGGACAGAAGGAGAAGCTCAAGGACCTCTCCAGGTCTCCTGTTTTCTACATTTGCAACATTTTTGTTTTCAGTGTACATGACATATAACTGAGCATTGTTACCCCTGTCCAAAAAAGACCTGCACACATACTCAAAATATGAGAACACTTCCACAGAAATAGCTGTACTTTTTGAAAAAAAAAAGAACATCTCGGACATGAACTAAGATTTGTGAGATTCCTCTGCTTTCTGACTGCTTTTCACACTCACTTCAGTCATATCTGGACAAAATAGTTATCATCTCATTATAACTCTCTGATAGGGAAGAAGAAATCTGTCTCTCGCACAGTACCTTTCTGCAGGTGGGGGACACTTCTTTCTGTCATAATGTTGATCCACTTGGGGACATCAGTTCCCTTTCTCTTCACACCAGCATCATAGAGGTCCTGGGTTAGAATGGAGAGCAAAAACCACAGAAATCAGGAGTTAGACAAGAAGCCATTGCAGACACATCCAATCTCCCCACTGGTAAACAAGCACTACAGGAACTGTGTGTGTGTGAGAAGCACAGGAGGACACATGGCTGGGCAGACAGCAGGACAACATCTGTGGATCTAATTCTGTGGATCTAATCTGATGCTAAGTACTTTGCTGTCACCTCTATCTACAGTTTTGCTGTGTTTAACTCTGTTTACCTCAGCAGAACTGCTCTTGCCAGACACAGATGCACTAAACAAGCATTAGCAGCCACTGAGCTCATTGCAGTGTGTGTTTCCTTTTGCTCTCTCACATGCCTGGGGAAATGCCAGGGAGCTGTACAGGTACTGCGTAAGTAGCCCATAAAAACTGCTAACTGAAGGAATCAGGATGGCAGTGGAGACACATGGATACCATGCAAACATCACTGCACAAGGCAATCTGAAACACACATACCAACTTCACAAATGCTCTCCAAGCCCACGGTATTTATATGTTTAATATCCCCCAAAACTTGATTAACTGAAGGTATTTAATGATCACTACCAGCACTTACCCGAGCATCTTGGTCAATCAGCTCATAATCAATCACAGAGTTATCTTCACACCTTTTGCCCTTCAAAACAGGGATAAGAGGAGGTGTCATAGAAAGCAAACAGTTTGCCATGGGCATACTCTTTTCTTTTTGATCTCTTCAGTCTGAGTTTGCTAAGTGAGTAGCTGTGTGCTCCATCCCCATGATGAAGCTGCTGCTGTGAGTGCTGCATTTCTGTCAAAATACTCTGCCCCTCAACATTTGAGTATTTTTTCCCCAAAAAGTCAGTGAAAATAGAAAGGTAAATCAGAAAGCCAATTGTTTTATTGGCAGGCACATCAGGACAAGTGGAAAAAAGGCAAACAGACCTACCTTGGCCAGGGCAACCATCAGCTTGCGGAAGTCACCAGATGTGTCTGATACAATGTCCTTTTCCAGTTCTGTCTTGTACACTAGGAAACAAAGAATTCTGTGTTTTGTGCACATAGACAGCTACAACCTAAGCCACATGTGGCAATGCCATGAAAATGAATGCCTGCTTGCCTACACCTGGCACAACACTCCTACCAGGCAGTCACGAGTTCCATGCAATCAGTCATGGAAAGGTAACAGGAAAACCTGAGACTGTTAAAAGGAATCCATAGATCCAACACCAGTATTTCTGTCACTATGCACAGAATGCAGGCAGCTTCTAAAAAAAATCTGGACACAACCTGTATGAGCAGCAAATATTCTCCAATCTGTTGACTAACAAGCAACAAGATGAAGCTATATATACCACACACCAATATCCAGGACACCAGTACAAAACAGTACCTTATATCCAACTGCCAGAGAATCAAAGCAGATTTGGGTAAGCTCTGTAATGATGAAATCCACACTGAGGGGAACTTATCCAAGTAACCTAGTGTGAAAACATGGGAACTTGTAGAGTAAACTTACTTTCCCTGTAGACTCTATTAATTTCACTGAGCTCCTGATTTGTCCGTGAGCAGATGATTTCAATAAGTGTGTCTTCATCAGTTCCCAGGCCCTGCAACACATACAGGATCCAGTCAGGAGCCAGGAATGAACAGGCATGCTTGAATGCTTCAAAAACATTTCACAGGTATCTCCTCTCTGCCACCTCACCAGTTAGCCTAAGGAAACAGCAGAATATTCTGCCTTTGTGGCTGCCCCGAGCCAACTGCTTGGTCTCTGTGCTGCAAATACAGCACAAATGGTACATGGTCACCCTGAACAGAATGTATCAGGTGCAAGAAAAAAACCCCATCCCCAAACGAACATGATTCCCCATGAATTATGGATGGGCTGTGCTGAGCCCAGGAGAGGGCAGCATCTGATTACTCAAGCTTGGCCCACAGCAGAGGAGCTCCCAGACCCGGAGTGGGGTGGGTTTGGGGGGTACCAGGTTCTTTTTGGGGTGTGTGTTCATGTGGTGGAGTGGGTGGTTTGTTGGCTTCTTTGGTTTTTAACTCCTTTTCAATCATCTGGACAAGTTAATTAATTAGGGGGTTTGTCTTGTTCTGAATTTCAACAGAGTAGTTTTTAATGATTAAAAATCAAATTATCCTGATCAAGTCAAGTGATGATTATAGCTACAAATTCCCAAACCTTAGTCTGCTTTCAAAGGTGACTGCACTAGCATGAGCACCTCTAAGGTCTTGTTTCTGGGCCCTGCAGAACAGGAATTTCTGAACTAGCAACCTGTTCCACTTGCCTGTGCCTGCAGGGACTGGGCACAGGAATCCCCCTGTGTGCTACCCAGAGGCATGTCTGGCACAGGATGTTCTTTCAAGACCAGTGATATAACCCAGTACCTGGAAACTGCTGTTTAAGTCTATAAATGCTAGCAGAGGATTTGATGGCTCTTTGCTAACAGCTTCTCATGCTATGAACCTGTACACTGTTTCCAAGAGCAGTCAGCAAAGCAGTAACCAGCCAGAGCAGCCTGTCAGCTTGTCCTTTAGGAAGGATTTCACTGACAGTTTAAAAATCCCATGGTTCCAGAGTTTCTCTCCCTTTTGATGCCTTGCAGCTGGATACTTAGACTGCAGCACTAAAGAAACCCAACAATCAGTGAACATGTTTGAAAACTGCGGCCTTGGATATGAGGTCCAAACCCATTCTCGAGACACTGACATCAGACTAACAGCCTTAAACTCCAAAGCTTATTTACCTTCATGGAAGCTTTCAATTCAGAGGCATCATACTGTGCTGGTGTCTTCAGCAAGCCCAAGATCACTGCCTCCAAGTGACCCGACAGAGCAGACTTGAGAGCTGCACAAAGCTCCTGTAAAAAAGGAGGAAGAAAGAAAATTAAAGCTCACTTCTGATCTCCACAGAATTTAACCCACAGTGCCCTAAGTCTCCAAGCCTGCAACACTGCTCTGTACACAGCTGACAAGGAAACAGAACACAGAGAGCTTTCCTTTTGTGAAAGCCTAGGAAAGAAATTAGGGCAAAGGAAGTTTTTCTAATCCTCTGAAAATAAGAAGAAATGCACCAGTGGCTGACAAAGTGCTGGGAAGATGTTGCAGACATTTGAACAGTTTCTCTCCAGCCCTGAAGTACTGATGCTCTGTTGGAGCTAATAAGCACAGACAAATCTGAGTTTGACTCCTTGTGGTCAGTGCTTCTCCTTCATACTTCCACAGTTTTCTCAGTAGCACTGTGTTATTTGTGGGTTTTCTATTATCCCAGCCCTTTACCAGCTAAGACACTGGAAATCTGACTGCACAGATATTCCACTGGACAGTCCCAGTTCCCAAACAGCTAGCTGAAGAGGAAAAAAACACTCATCCCTGAGCACAGAAAAATTATCCCTGTCTTCAAGGAAACTAACAGAACGTTCTAGCCAAGGTCTCTATAGTTAACTGTCAGTCCTAGAGAGAGAAAGTCAGCTGTGTTCACTCCATAGGATGCAGTGCAAACCTGCAGCAAATACAGTCAGAGATCACATCCTCCTAGGGGTTTCAGATGCAACTGGAATGATGGTAATTATCAGCTTCAATGTAGTGTGTTACAAAGCTGAAATCCCTGGGATCAAGTCTGGGGTTCACACATATGTATTCCCAAAGCTGAAGCTAAATCTGTAGCACTCAGGAGGGAATTGCTGCACTGCAATTGCAGGTTTCTACACTAACAATCTGAGCTGGAGAGGCAAGGGAAAGGGGGCAGAGCAAGTGACCTCAGCAGGATTGCAGAGAAGTTTGTGCCAGAGAGATAAAGAGCCAAGGCAGTTAGTTAATTTCCAGCGCCACCCATTTAATCTAGGGCTAATCCCTATGCTAATATCCTGTCTGCCCTCCCTGCATGGACCAGCCAAGAGTGAGTGGGGGTTCTGGGCATCCAACTGCCCCAGTCTGAGAAACATTTTAGCACAACTGCTCAATTTTGGATGCAATGCTCCATCCTTTATTTGTGTGAAAACACCAGAGCAGGTTGCTCAAGGTTCATTCAACCTGGCTCTGAACACTGCCAGGGTTGGGGCAGCCACAGCCTCCCTGGGCAACCTGGGACAGTGTCTCACCACCCTCATACGGAAAACTTTTTTCTAATATCTAACCTAAACTTCCCCTCCTTCAGTTTGAACCCATTACCTGTCCTGTCCCTGCAGTTCCTAACACAGAGTCCCTCTCTGGCTCCTTGTAGGCCCTTCAGATACTGAAAAGCTGCTCTGAGGTCTCCACACAACCTTCTCTTCTCCAGGTCCAACCTGTGTGTGCTCCTGCACATGTCTGTATCAGTCATGCATAAAGTTGGTCATTTCCAAAATGTAACTCTAGATTTACATCTGTTTTCAGGTGAATGTTCTGGACTGATACTGGGGGACTACCATTTGGGGTCTAGCAAACCTGAAGGAGATACATTCAGCATCGTCTGAACTCTATGCAAGTCTCCTCCTTTTCATGGGCATGAAACTTCAATTATGGCAAGATTCTCAGAACTTCCAAAGAGAAGAGCTCTTGCCTTCCAGAGCAAGACTCACACTGAAGAACTCTGCATATATTTTCTAGACTTCTTTCCATCAATAGATCAGTATCGAAGGTCTTTGTGGTAATGTGTAGTGACAGTTCAACTCATTATTTTGTTTCACATCTGCAGTATTCACAGTGAACTGACTGCAGCTCTTTCCCAGCTAAGCTAGCTCTGTGAACACAAACAGAATCCTTTCCTGGTGCTGAGCTGTCTTAGCAAAACCAAAAAACCCAAACAAACAATCCCCTAAAGCATCTCCCTTTCATCTTTTCCTTCAAACAGAGGCATTTCACATCCATGACTTGTCAGTATTGTTTGGCATATTTCACCAGGGAATCCTGTGGCTCCCACTGTGATTTCTGGAGGTGTAAGGAAAACATTGTCTCCCACAGATTTCAGTCCTAGTTGTGCATATTCAACACCTCTGCAAGTTCCATCAGTCCTAAACTGTGACAGCATGGGCAAAGCAGACGTATCTTTGATTTCAGTGAAAAAATAACCCCTGAAAAATCTGACCGTCCACAAGAGAAATATTCAACACTTAGTGTTTCTTTGTATTTTGCTACCTTTTTGGTTCTCCTCTGGTAGGCAAAGGCAATATCCTGTCTCTGTTCATTGCTGCGGTTAGTCAGGATGTTGACAATGGTGACCTCATCCACACCTACAAAGACATAAAGAGTTATAAAGCTTTCTTGTCACTGTCCTCTTGGCATCAGCATGTCCTCCAGCACTCCAAACATCCCAGGTGTGCTGTGAGGAGCAGAGCTCCGTTGGTTAGTAGAGGTCATGTCCCAGCCCTGGACAAAGCGCAACTGATTACAGCCCTGACCTGAGGTGATGCAGCTCTAGTGTCCACAGGCATGTGTACCCCACCAAAGCCTGCTCTGAGCCCAGCTCTGTTCCTCTGCCTCCTGCTTCCCTCCTGTGTCTGTGCAACCTGTGTTCAGCCACCCAAGAACACAGACTTTGAAACGACACGAACTCGTACCTCTAAATCCTGCCCTGCCATTTCAACACTGAGTGTTTTCAATTAAGGCTTCTAATCAAGCAGTTCTATTTGCTATTCAGCCCATTTAACCCATCACTCCAAACAGAAAACTGGGAAAATGAAGCAGAATATTTCATTCTCTCAGCACATCAGCGGCTCAGAAGACAGAAGGGTAATTTGGACACTGGAAGAATGACACACGTGCTACTTCTGTTTGAATCCAATAATTTGGATGCTCAAACTCCCAAATTATCTTTTAAGTAAGTGAACTACATGTTAGTAAAGGTTCAGTTTTAAGTGAAGCATTCCAAAGCCATGCACTCCCGTGCAGCTGCAGGCTGAGTGCAGGGAGATCACTGTGCCCCATCCCAAGTCAGAAGCCAAAGCATGCACCTGGGGTTAGACACTCTGCTGCCAATGGAACCTAATGCTCACCACAGCTTTAGATCCTGTAGGGTCATCAATGCAGGTCAAGGCATACAGAGAAAAAGCTTTTATGTTTCCTGGGAAGCAGGATTTCCAAATGTTCTATGTTCTTCCAATGCAGGCAGCATATTGGGCCTTTTCCACTTGCTCCTGCCTACTGCTACTAACTTGCACTTCAGATTCCCTCTCGTTTTCCCTGCTTTACTTGCTGCTTTCAAAATGGATTCTCCTGAACTTGCATTCACACTCAAACACCACATCAACCTATGGCTGTGCTGTGTAACCACCTGGTTTGGGCCACTGTCAGAGGGGCTGGATGAAGCTTAGAAGAGGCAAAACTCTGGATACTGCACATCCAACACAGTGCATATTCTCTGCAACAGAAAGATATGTATAACTAGCTATTTTTTCTGGCGAGATTCAGGTCAGGTTTTGAGGCAAGTAGGTGGTTCTAATCCAGAGGCCAGAAGAGGCCCAGAGTTTCCACTCAGATCTCTCCATTTACTACAAGTATTGTGAATAGCTTCTTTGACATTTGCACGCACGTCAGTGTAAAAGATGAACTTGGGATAAAGAAAGGGAGTAAGGACTGGAGCAGCAGCCACAGGCAGAGCTCAGATCCCTGCGAGAATCAGCCACATTTATTTCCCAAAGCAACCTCACAGCAACACGAAACAACAGACTGCAACAGATACTACCAAAATTAATCATACAAAGTGTGAACCTTGCACAAGACCTTTCAGCCCCTAGCTCCAGAATCCAAAATTCTGAGTCAAATCCAAAATTCTTTCTCCTTCCCCACATTTTTCGTGATGAATTACCACACTTGACAGCCTCGTGTCCTCAGCTCGTGCTGAGGCAGACTTACCTCAGTGCTCCTACTCACACAAGCTTGACCTGCAAATGCCAAAAGGCCCTGGAAAGCATCATGTGTCTAAGTTACAGACTCCGGCTGGAAAACATGCTGACTGCACATTTCAGCCACAATCTACTCCCTCACATTTTGAAGTGTTCCCACTTCCTAAAGGAAAACAAATTCTCCCAGTCCAGGAATGGCCACACACAGACATTGGGCCTCTCACTGCTGCAGGGACACAGCAATCAGCCAGTGTCTCCAGCTTCTAAATAAACTGCAAATTTAAGCCATTCTTGGCATTCAAAAGACAAATGGCATTTTCAACCTTTATCACAACTGGGATAGATCAGAAGGCCACAAATGATTCCATCCAAGTTTCCTTGTGGATGGAAATATGACAGTAACTCATTGCTCTGGTATTCAGTGGAAAGTGCCTGTGCTTCACCCCCGGGAATCCTCTGCATGGACAGGATGCTGACTCACATCTGCTGAGGTGGGGCAGAGCAGGAGAGCAGCTCTTTGCTGGTCACTAAAATCTCTGGAATTTTCAGGGCAGTGAAACAGAAGTTGATTTTCAAATTTATTCTGGCCAGGCAGATTTTATCACTGCATTTCTAACAATGGGCAAAGGAAAAAAATCTGATTAATGACAACTTTTCTTTTGCCAGAGGCAATCTGTTGCATTGCTAAGGTCACAGTGCTGTGGCTCAGCCAGCAACAACATGGCAATGAACAGAACCAAAAGGGTCAGTTGGAGTTTTTAATGTTTTTGGTTTAGAAGACACTGTACCTGCATTTCCTGGGCCAAACTAACAGCACCAGCATTGCTGTAAACACAAGGGATGATGTGGACAGTCAGTAGGAGCAGGTGAGGGCAGAGCTGACAGGTTCTCTGTTTGCAAGAGCTGGCAGGCATTCCTTCAGCTAAGGTCTGTCCTCTCCAATTTCAGCTTCAAAGGCAGCATGGACAGGACACCAGCAGCTATTTCTGCCCTAACAGCATCCAGGTACTACAGAGACCATCAGTCTAGATCAATGAACGTGATGGGAGGCTTCTGGCCCCAGATTATTAGTGGGGGTGGATGTTACCAGCCCTCTGAGGCCTCAGCACCACTGTGCATCTGCTACCAGCACAGCCCGAGGACTGTCTGACTGAGCTCATGATCTGCAGTGTCTCATTTCCCTTGGACAAACCCCTGATCCCACTGGAGTCAAAGGGAAAAATTTAGATAAAACAAGACTGTGTTTCAGCTCTGATATTTTGCCTAGCAAGATTTCACCAAATCCAACCCATGTTGCAATGAGATATTTCTTCAGTGATGCTATTAATACTCTGAATATGTGACTGGTGCAGTTTGGTGGAGTTCAGGCACTCTCCTCCCCTCACCAGATTTCCTTAAAATCTTCTACTTTATACCATTAAAAACTCGGTTAGAATACATCGGCATGTTGGTTGTACTAGGTGAACAGAGGACCCTTCTGTAAGGTTGAATTCACATGTCATCATTACATCCAGAAATAGGTAAAACAATGAATTTATTATTAATTTATTTTTGTTCTAAGCACTGTCCTGCAACACAGCTGTGTTTGTTTGCATTCTGTCAGTCATGCACTGCAAAAGTGCACCCTGAGACCTCAATAAAACGCTGCACTTCAGGTTGCAGAAGTGACTTAACGATTCCCAGTCAAGTCTGACAACATTATTTAACAAGTACTTGAGACACACAAAATCACAGTGCCAGGGAATCCCTCTGAAACAGAAAGGGACACTTCAGCAACTGTCTTTGCTCCAAAAGAAGATGGAAAGGAAACCTAACAAGCTCTCTTAGTGCTCTTCTAGGTAGTTTCTTCTGTTTAGGCTCATGTAGTCAGCTAATCTACACACAGGGCACAATGGAGCATTATACAGACCTTAAACAGCCTCTTGTCCCATACTGCAAAAAGCCACCACTGACAAAGGACATGCTCAGGCAACAGATGAACTCACTCCAGAAACACTAAACAGCATAAAAATGAAACACAGCCATGACATTTATCACAGAAGGAATGAGCCAGAAGTGCAACAAGTTGTCTGCACTATGCAACCTCTAGGTTGAACCATTACTAACTCCAAACAGGTTTTCTATCTCCTGGAGCCTTTTTTGCACATTTCTCTGTCTAGGCTGTTGGATATATATAAACCCTCTGCATTTCATTCAGCTCCACTCAGAGCCCAGTAAAGGGCTGAGCCATATATTGCTGCATTTGGTTTGTGCAGGTGGATCTAAGCCCAAATAAACACACCACAGCATCTTCCTGTGGCTAACCCACCAACGAATCTGAAGAGTGTGAATGAATGCTGAAATATTTAGATGCTACACAGGAGAGTCACACTCTGCCCTAGATCTTGGCCCTAATATGAATGTATAGCTGTTGTGCAGCCACCAAAATCAGTTCAACCCATTTTACATGACATCACTAAAACAGAGAAGCCTGACTCTGATTCCAGGAGCTTCCACTCCTGAGAAACAGCTGGATAATAATTTACATGGGAACTCTTCCAAACTGGCCTGCCCTGATGGCAAACACCACACTTGCCTGCACTGTTTAGGTAAGGTGTACCCTGAGATAACTCCACAAGGTATCCCCTTCCACAGGCCAAAGGATACAACTGCAAAGGCTGCTTGGATGGCTGGGAAATGCAGGCCCTGAGAGCCTGCATGGACCCAGACTTTAGAAACAAAGCAAAGGTCTGGGCTTCCCATGCCAGGAGTCCTTCATCCTGCACAGCCTCCAGTGCTCAGCTCCTGTGTCCGTGGGTTTGTGCCACCTCAACCACAGAACAGCTTGCAGCTCTATTTATAACCTGTTATCTCTCTCCCTATCTCAAAACAAAAGGAACAAGTCACATTACTCTTCACAATTTTATAACTTGCACTGATCATTTCTCCTTTCCACGTACAATGCAAACCAATTGCTAGAGAAATGGTGATACCTCCTAGGAAAACAGCAGCTGCTGTGGGTATCCAGTTTGTTCATTGTGGCTGTTCTGTTCTGAGCTCAAAAACTACTCAGATATTTCCCAGAAATATTTTTCACTTGTTTTTGCAGAAGAATTTCCCTGTGTAGCTGTTTATGTCACTGTCCATAGAAGACCAACTCTTGTTTGGGTGATTTTGAATCTCATTTGGGACCAAACCTCACATGTATTTTAGAGCTCAAGTTGAACAAATGTTCTGAGTTAACAGATGAAAATATCCTGCAACAAAGCATTCAAAGTGCAAGGGAACAGTGCCTGAGGAAAGGGTTGTAACACTCTACCACTTCATTTTTCCACAGAAATACTCCCTTTGTGATGTTGTTTGGGGTGAAAAATTCAGTATCCAAACCATAGAGAGACTCTCCCCTTTAATGCCACCTTCCCAAAATAGCTCCTGGGGAACAAACTCATAGGCAGAAATAAGCTCAGCCCTACAAACATGCAGGTCCATAAGGAAGTTTCCCTGTTACTCCTTCAGAGAGCTGAAAATCATCTCTCTAATGAAATATTTCCCTGTATTTTACAAGCAAACTCAGCAAACTGCTCATCTTAGCTGGAAGTGAAAAAATGACATGAACTTGACTTTCCTGACTGGAAATCTTTTGTATTGCCTAGGATACTGCAATTTCCTTTGCAAAAATTAACAGCTTGAGCATTCACATATGTAAATTCACACCTAATCCTGAGAATCTAACTGTGTGTTTGACACATTTCTATTTGCCCTATAATCAGTGCTGTAGAAAATGATTACGTCTAGACAAAACTCCACATACACAAAGCACCTCCTGCCAAACACGACGGCTCACACTCCTCTCACCCAGGAAGGTTTTGGAAGTAGAAGCAAACCATAAATGACTCAAAATCAGAACTGAACCTGCTTCAGTCAGGGGTTTCTCCAGTAAATGAAGCAATCTCGTGAAGGGAAGCCCTAATGCTTGTCAGGGAGGGGAAATATTTCACATTTTATAGCAAGTCCAACACGTGCTTTGTTGGCATTGATGGAAGACTTTGCATTTCTTTCGGATGAGAAACTGTTTGGTGTTTAAGTCTCTCCCTCTCCTGTCTGTTGCAGTTACGCCCAGCTGTGGCTCCTCTGGCCTGCAGCAAAGTTTGGCACACCTTCACTCCCTGAAAGAGCAGGACAGGGACAGAGCTCACAGCCCTGGGAGCACCACCAAGGCATTTCCTCAGAGGTGTGGTCATGCTCCCTGCACTTGGCTGTACCAGGAGGAACCCACCTAAGAGCTTGGCTCAGGAAATCAGAGGACTCTCATGTTGCCTTGCCCCTGAAATGCTGCAAATTCATTTCAGAAACTAGTTTCTAGGACTTTGTTTGACCCCAAATGAATAGAAGACACACGAGCATTTAGTTCAAAACCCAGCAGAAGAATGTTCAAACCAGCCCTATGCAGCTGTCTGGAGAGCTGAAAGGAAGAAGAAAGGTCCAATCCAATAATCCAGCAGAAATCCATGATTCAGAGCCCGGTCCCAAATCACTGCCACAAAAGCTGACACTTCATTCTCAGTGGCAGAAAAGTAGTAGAGTTTGAAGTACTGATGAGTTAAGAGAGAAAAAGTAGACACTTTCAGTGATTACCTCAACAACTCACAGCATATTCAAACACGTAGTTACAGAGTGCAAACCTAACATGGTCTAGATCTCCTCAGTGAGGCCTGAGAAATCCACCACCTCCTGAAATAGGTCTCCTTGACTAAGGATATTAAAAGGTTGGTCTCGAGACACAGTATTATTTTTTCCTGTTAGACTTCTATCTTACCCTGAGAACAAAACCATCCAGGATGGAAGAGACCTCTCAGATCATCGAGTCCAACCCTTACCCTGTCACTGCTGGAACCCCTAAACCAGATCCTCCAGTGTCAGATCCAGACACCTCTTAAACACCTCCAGGGATGTTGACTCCACCACCTCCCAGGGCAATATCCCAGTTCCTGATCACTCTTTTGGTGAAGAAATATTCCCTAATAGCTAACATGAACACCCCCAGTTGAACTTGAGCCTCTTTCCTCTTCTCCTGATGTTCTAGGAGCAACCTTCAGCCTTCTGCCAGAGGAGGCTAAAGACAGAACCAAAGCCTTAGCCCCTGTTCCTCACCTTTGGTCTTGATGGCTGTTTCTAGGGCTGCAGCATCCCGGTCAGCATCGAAATTGGAGTAGGCCTTAACTGTGGCATAGGCACTTGGTGGCAGAGAATGCTGGAAGAAAAAAGAAGAACTTCTACAGTTAAATTGTGTTGTGTGTAATTGCCGCAGCGAATAAAACATGTGGCTCTCAGTTCCCTGGGATTTACCCAAATGTTTAGAGAGAAGAACGTGGAAATGGGATTCTCAGAGCCACCATACTGTGTTCTCCTGATGGGCACTGTCCAGAAAACAACTCCATTTAGAGGCCTAATCGTCTGGCAGAAAGGTGCAGTGACTAACAGCTGAAGCTGCCACAGCTGTTTCCTGAATGAATGAAAAACTAAGTTTTCTTGGTAAAGGTGTCCAGAAACTTTTGTTCCATCCCTAACCAACAGAAAGTTGAGTTCAGGAACAGGACTAAGCTGCCTTAATATCCCTGGACAATCTTTTTACATGCGAATTTTTAAGAGGACAACTTTTAACTCTCAAAGTTCTATGATTTCTGACTACATTTGACTACCCTGCAGAGGTCATGCTGCCCTGCACAGACTCCTCTGGCAGCATCCACTGTGCCTTCTTGAGCCACTCCGTTCTCTGCTGTGGAGATGAGAAACCAAAACAGCACTGATAAACACAACCATTCTCTTCTGTCTCCTACCATCAGCTCAATCCAGCCAAGTGGCCCCAGTTTGGCCCAGAGCCACACCACAAAACACAGCCTTTCCCTGAGCCTTCCCTGCGAGCAGAACAAGCTGCTAAGAGAACCAGTAAATGGAGATGTGCAGTGCAAATTTCCTACATGGCAGTAGAAGTCCAGCTAGTGTGTAACTGCACAGTCTGGGCCATGCTAAAGCTGAGAAATTCCTCTCCTCCTTATGCTTCCTAGTGTGCTTCAGAGGTCCTCCAACTGTTTGACTTGCTCTGAGCCTGACAAAGGTGATCCTACTGGGAAGGACAAAACTGGAGGAAGAAGCACATATGTTTAAGAGAAAAACGTCTGGCTCAGTGCTGTGTTCAGTATCAGCTGACTTGCTGAATCGTTGTCTAGAGAAACTGGCCAAATGCTGAGTCCCCATGCAAGAGAGTGACACCCTAGCTGCCTGACACTTCTGACACTCTGTGGCAGGATTTTTGGTGAAAATGCTGCCATGGGACAGCAATCAAATCTGACTTTTGCAACTACTCACAAGCACCAAGGAAGAAACATTTCTGCCCTTGAGAACAGACTGCTTAACTATTATTCCAAAAGCAATTCTCCACTGAAACACACACAGCCAAGAGAGCTGAAGGCTTGGCTGCTTTTGCACTGCAAAACCAGTTTTACCACTCACCTACAGTGCACTGGCCAGTTCTTTGTAACAGCTCTTTCCCAAAACTTTGGCTGGTATAATTAGTTTTGCAATGAGTAACAAAAACAGGCAAAAAAACCTACTGGGACTGAGCTCAGATCTGCAGTTCCTGGCTATAAGATTTACAAGTATAGCAAGTTTAGAAGCAACAGCATGAAATAATGCATGAGTAGGATTCACTTCCTCTTCAGGGACAATCAGAACCACAATATGCTGAGGCCACACTGGTAAGATGCAACGTCAGATGGTAAGTTAAGAAATCAGACCAAGCCTGTGGCTTTCTGGAATTTCAAGAAGACTTCAAAGCAAGTGCAGATGTGGTGGAAAATACACAACCGACAGAAAATAAGTTCAAGAAAATAATCTTTCTCAAGAGCTAGTTTGGTTAGCTCACTTGTTCCTGTGGAAGGAAGAGGGACACAGATGCAAACTAGCCATTGTTTGTCCTGGGATCTCTTTCCTGTGGCCCAGCAGACAGATCCTGCTGGTGCTGCAGGTCAGGCAGAAGGACTTTCACTCCATTTCATCACCTCACACAACTGTCCTATCATTTACAGCTGCTCTGAGGATGAAAGCTGATCACTGCTGACTAGGTTTGGAGCCCATGACAGTTCAATTAGGAGGGATGTGTGGAATCTTGTCAGCTGTACAGCTCAGTACAGGTGTTGGTACAGAGTCCTGTGACAACATGTGGCATTCAAGTAAAACAAACTTTTGTTGTTTACACAACAATACTTACATCTCCTTCAAGGCTGAGCTTGCTTAAAATTTCGTGAACAGTAGACATCTTGGAAGAATGCTGGAGGAAGAGAAAAAAGAGACAAAGGAGATTTAATACGTTTAGGGTTCCATCAGCATGTTACAGTGCTGAAACACTGCAGGACTTCAGTGACACTGTCAGTGGATCTGCTAACACCAAGCAAGATTTAAGGGTTTCCAAGCCACACCACCGTTAAAAACACAACAGTGAGAGGTCTTCATTCTATAGTACAATAAAAATTCCTTAAATGAGCATTTCTTCTGCATTTTACACACTTAGGGAGTGGAGAATCCCTGCCTCAAACAGACTCATGAGCCTACAGATCAGCACCAGGAAAATGATGCAGAAACAGTATGGCCTGGTCCAGCTCAGAGCCAACAAGCAACAAGTACTCGCACTTAAATCAGACACTTGACTCCTCAAGTACTCATGGATTACAATTACACTACTAATTTGCATGCAGACACTTTGCAACATCACAACACTGTTCAATCCTAATCCTGGGTGCAGCACCTTGTGGTTTTGCAGTGCCTTCCCAGCACAGACACCAGTCAGTGACAGGATTGTCAGACACCAGGTAACCAGGACTCTCTTCAAATGGTAGCTCCAAAAAGAAGAGCCACCGAGGCAAGATAATCAGTATCACTGCTACATTGCCAAAACTGCATAATACCTTGCTAAAATACATAAAAAATTAGGGAAAACCCCAACCCCGAGATCGAATGAACACGGATGGGATATGCTTACGCTACACTCTGCCTTTTTTAAACTCTGGTTCCTGGTCAGGGAAGTTTGCCAGAGCTGTATTATTGTTTTACTGGAAGGGCCTGTCAGCTAAGGGAAGTGTTTCCAAAGGTGATGAGCCAGGGGCATTATTTAAGAGGCTCGATGCATTCCCAAAACTCTGCTCTCCAATTTCTCAGCTGAAAGGGCAGGTGTTATCACTCCTATTATCTTCCAGGCAGCCAGGATGGCACCTGCAGCAAACATTGCTTTGCCTGTGGAAATCAAAGCTTGTTTCCCAGGACTGCTGCACTCCAGCTGCAGAGAATATTATCCAACAGGGAAAAGAGAAGGGAAAGGACAGCAACAGCTCAAACCCAGTGAATTCCAGCTGCTACCTGCTGCTGGCACTACTAACCACACTGGTTAGAGGGGACAGATACATTACTGGGCTGTGAAATACTTAATGCTGACCCCTAACAAAATGAAAAGCCTCACAGTGAGAGCTTTGTATGCTGACAGTATTCCAACCAATACCAAGGATGAGCAACTGAGGCCCTTGAGTCTTGCTTGTCACAAAGAAAACACCAGTGAGAGGTGAAGCAAAGCAACTGCAGTCTAATCTTTCACATGGAAAAAAAAAGAGCAGCTTTTTGCGAGGCTGCTGTTCCTAAATCAATTAAAAACCACACTGAACCAGGCTTGCTGGAACAAACAGCTGGAACAGAGTCCAGGAACAGAACTAACACACCCTCAGAGCTGGAACTGGGAGGGTCACATTGCCAGCACACAACAATGCTATAGCAACCAACTCCCCATGAGCTGGAAAAAGAGAAAAAAACGGGAGGTTTAGCAGGAATCTTTGCAGAGCAAGATCCTTACCCAGAGAACAAACACATCTCTTGTCACGTCCTGCTCTGTAAGGCACTCGTATCTGAGAACAGACTCTCACTGTTCCCTAATGAAGCAGTGGTTTTACATGAGGTAGTTTCGACAAGTTCTGGGTGGGTTTGGACATGCAAACAGAAAATACTTGCACTAACTTGTTCTTCCTTGCACTGGAAAAGAATAAAGTGTTACCTTCCAGCTGCAAACTAATACTTCAATACCTTAAGGCAAGTTTCTACAACCAGTTTCCAAATCCACATTATGCAATCTTGAACCCTAATGTTATTCTCCTAAAAGAGGTGGCATGTTTTGACCCCAAACCCAGAAACAGCACTGGTTTGCAGAGCTGTTATCATATTGACCCAGTCTATATGCAGTCCCTTCTCCTCATAACTGCTTGGTAACAGAGGAATGTGTGTTTAAAATCAGCCCATACCTCAAATTCCCAGGGGCAGCTCACATACATTACAGCAGAAAAAAACCCCATGTGATCCATGGAAAACAGTTTCAGGTATGCACAAACAACTGCATTGCTCAACCAGCAGAGTTAGCATTTTAAGCAGCACTTATTACACAGAGATTTGAGCAAAGGGTGTTCCCAGACATCTGAGCCAAGGAAACGGCATCCCCGGAATGAGAGAATGGAAACTCTTGCACTTGGAGCACATCTGTGTTAGGACTGCAAAAACTAGGGCAAGGGCTGTCAAATAAAGGGGATGAGGGAGCATGAGGAAGATCCACAATACTGCTGTGAGATAAGGACTCAGAATCACTCATTTATGCACAGTGCTAACCAACAGCACAAATAAGCCAGGGCTGTATCTCCCCAAACCACCCAATAAAGTTGAGCAAATCATTTGAAGTCACAATCTGGAGGGCAAAAACCCCCAAAAATCAGCTTTAAAGAAAAGCATTTCCAAACCTATTAAACCATAAAGATACTTCAACCACTTTCTTCCACACACACTGATAATAACCACCAAGTTCCTTTGTGGGGAGATACTATGCACTTACAAACTTAAGGACTTTTTATTCAAGTTGCTCTCACTTCTGAGACAGGAAAACCTGCTGGGTTGGGATTTTTAATGAAGGCAAACCATACTAAATATCAGCTCATGGGAACTATAGGGAAACTAATGGCAACTAGGGCTGCTTATCCCACCTAGCACACACAGGGATGAATCAGAGGTACCAAGAGCCTTTCACTCCTGATCTGCATCTCAGACTCTGCACATCCCTGTGCAAAAACACAACGTGAACCGATGTTAAACCGAATTAATGCTAAGCACACAACGCACTTCTCCATCAGCTACAACACATGCCAACACTGCTCCACCCATCTCCCCTCCTCTCTCGAGAATGAGGAAATGATGTCCAAGCTGATTCACAACCCAAGAAGCAGAAGAGAACCCCCAGCATCTCTGCCTGGGGTAGGATGCT